ACCCCTACTATTTCCAATACCTCTATCACTCGGACCACCCCGCTACGAGTCTTACCACAGTTACCACAACTACTATTTTCTTTGCGCTGACGCTGCCACAAAGGTGGATTTCTACTTTGCTTAGCCCAAAGAAGCCCGAAACCACTGAAACGACAACCGCAGAAAAGTCTCTACAGTATTATTGTTCCTCTCTCCTCTTTCCTCACTCCTGCTTCTCCTTCGTTAAGTGGCCCGATCCCAAAGAAACCCGAAACCAGGTAAGCTAAAGACATCCGCAAAGAAGTCCCTAGTAAGTGGAATACCTTTTCTGTTCCCTCCCTTTGTCACTGTCACGCTGGCTTTGGTGCTTCGTCCCCTGCCCTTTCTGCTGCTCCTAGTGCTTGTAAAGCACTCCCAGCAGAAGCAAAAGCAAAAACAGTAGGGGAAAAAAACGTGATAAAAAACCGGAAAACACTGAAAAAATACCGGAAAAATATCCATCCATTACCAAGAACGCACTTTCACCGCAGTGGGCACCGTAGGGAGAACTTATCCACCGCAAATACTGCTGGAACAGGATGGGTTCCTAATTCATGGTTCCTAATTCAGGTCACAGGATGGACTAGGCTGACTAGACCCACAACCCTCAACTGACTGAGGCCGCTGTCGGGTTTCAAGTCTGCGACCGCGCGCGAGGGCTTTTGGCGGCCCGCTTTCACAGCGCCCTACACTGACCCGGTGAGCCCGAAGGGAAACCGAAAACGGGGCCAAGAGTCTCAACTCGGATGAATGCCACAGGTGGAAAGGCAGGGAAGCCGGGAAGCTAAGAACCATTATACAGAGATCAACATTTGTTGTTGGCCCGATCCACTGAACCAACGAGCCTCTAGATTTGTTCAGTCCAACCGAAGCGAGAACGCACAGTTCACATCGGTGAAGATCATTTTTCTGCAGGTTTTCTCTTTTCACCTCTGAAAGCACTTCCAGCGACTCGCGCAGGACAACATGCGGAGTCCTGGGCCTGGGACCTACCCCAGTCACTCCGAGTTCCCGGTGGAGAAGTGCCGCCGGGCACGGAGTGTCCCGGACTTCTTCTCCCGGAGCCTTGGTGAAGTGGCCCTTGGTGAAGTCTCCCAAGAAAGAAAGGAGTCGACATGAAGAGTTGTATCAAGTTTTGTCAGGATAGCCTTCATTTTGATTGATTTGGTTGATATTGTTTTGCCAGTTTTGACACTTTGGAAGGATTTAGCGGAGATTTGATCAGGACAGGTGCTGGAAAATATCTTGATTCTTGGGAAGGATGGTTCGCGTCACGATTCGTCTCCGCTCAGGAAATACTTTGGAGTGCAGAATCCCCATCAGCTCAGATCCTTGCGAGAGACGGTCACTTGCCCAAATTCTTTTGAGGTTCTGAAGCTTCCTTTGAGGTTCCGTCCACTCAGGGTTTGCGATCGTGTCTGAGGACGGATCTCGTTTGGCGGGCTTTGACTGCAGTGGCCCACAGCGGCCACCGCTGGTCTCAAATTCACTGGCAGCTCCTGGAACCTACAACCCAGATGACTGTCTGGGTGGCTTGTCTTTGCATAGAAATGCATTTTTTCTGACATGTTTTTCACTAGATTCTTAGCAAGAACCGCGCTTGGGGTCATCAGAGTCAACATAGGTAGACGAGCCCAGTCCATCTCAGCTGAGGCCAGTCCATCTCGGCCAAGCTCCGGCATTGTGCCAAGATCGCCCAAGGAGGGGCCTTTGGCAGCACGAAGACGGGTGAACGCTTTCCACCTTCCAGCTTGGCCCCAGGCACGCCATGACAGCTCTGGCCTTCCTGCTTGTTCTGGAGTCTAGAGAATTTCCAGAGAGTTAATCGCTCCTTGAGAGGTGATGAAAGTGTGTCTCCTGGCCCCGCACTGCCGCATCAAGATGCCATGAAGGCAGGGTGTCATCCTGAAGACCTAGAACCAGTGGGCCGAGAAGGACCTGGTTTGTGAAACTGTTCCCGGCCCAGGACGCTGGGGATGCTGCAGGTGGATCTTTCAAATCTGAAGCCCAGCGACTGACTTCGAGGGAGGAGGAGCTTCTGGGGAGCTGCCGAGCGAAAACTGGGGAGAACACACCGCTTTAGAGCCGCATTGCACGCAAGCAAGGGTCCACGGAAGCATACTGGAGAACAAATGGCCACGGTTAAACGGCCAAAGAAAGAACATCAAAAAAGACAGGCAAAGAGAGGCCTAAAGGTCCCAAAAGAAAGTCCACTGAAGCGTGATGCATCTCACCACAGGAGTCACCGGGACCTGGGACATACGACGTTGTGACCAAGCCCGACTTCCGTGTAGGCTGGAGGCCGGAGAGGTTTCACAAGTGCAAGTCGTCAAGGATCGTCAAGGTGTCGGTCGTGAAGAAAAAGGCAGCAGATTGACTTGAAACTAGGTGAGATTCGGATGATTTCGATGATTCTAAAGATCTGGAAGAGGTTTTGAAGGTCTTCTCAAAGCAAGGGCATTCTCGGCCAGGATCGCGAAGACGGATCACGTGGGCTTTGGCAGCTCTGACGAGAGGTTCGGCGACGCCTGCACCGATGCGCCGCCTCCCGGTGCTTACGAGCTGGACACCGATGCGAACAAAGGCGAGGGAACGGTGCATGGCCGTAGCCTCATGGGGCAGAGAGCCAAAGCCAAGAACCATTTAACATCATTTAACATCCATTTTCACATGCCTTTTGGATTGTTGATGTGAAACAACATGAGATTCCACGCGCGGGCTGGCTCATAGGCCTTAGGGATGTGAATGCGTCAGCACTGGCCAGTTATAGCATGTCATATCATATTTTCGATAGTGTGTCCATGCTGGCATCACTTCCGGCATCGACATATTGTGGTGGTTGCAGCTTGTCATTGTTTGGTCATTCTCCTGTTATGCCTGTTTTGATGACCGCCAAGCCAAGCCAGTGGATTGCAGCTAGCAGACTTGTTTCTCTCTTTCCCAGCAGCTGCAGCATACGCTTTGGATGTACGGAAACGCTGTTGATGGATCAGTGAGGAGGTCTTAATTGGAACAGGGACGATCTAGGTCACATGTACGTGACATCTACTGGTCGCATGGCTGCCTGGAGACAAACCTTATCTTGTTTTCAGTGTTTTCCAGATTTCCCTGTGGTCTGGTACATCTTGTGAGGCTGCTATGCTTTCAAGGCGACTGCATCGCGCGGCCTCCCTATGCCCAAGGTTGCGCAGCGCGGGCTGGATCCAGGTGCGTGTTCGTGAGACGTTGCAACACCTGGTTTTGGTGGATAGTTTCATCATGCTTGGATTATCTCCAGCTGACAATCAATATTTCCAATCTAGTTGCTCAAGATGCCCTAGAGAAAACAAAGTTGAACGGAAACGAGCCAGAGATCAGAGTTGAACTCCATGTGATGTGGGGCAGGTATGTACAACACTGCTGGGAGTCTCCTGCGCAAGTCCTTCAACACGAAGGCAGCTTCATGTCTGTTCGTTGATTTCATACAATTTTGGCATGCTTCAGTTGCTGCGTTGCAACGAAGACACCACATGGATTCTTCTCGATTCTGGCCGAATCGATGGAGATCAGGTGGAAGAGGCTGCATTTCTCCTGCAGATTCATGAAAAGAGGCCGCCGCCGCGGGGTCCCTTCCCGTGGGCGGAAGGCGACTTGCCCGCAGAACTCCGAGCGACGACCGTCGAGAGCCCACATTTGAGTCGCCTGGTCGGGTGAGGTTCTACTTGGCGACCGCGACAGGCATTGGCCCTCGAGGTGCCAAACGATCTGAGTTGCAACTCTTTATTTGTTTGTTACGCACCTCTTCGAAGATTTGCAGGACCTTGTTTTGGGGAGACCGCTTGTCTCAAGAAAGTGAACTCCAATTGTGTTTCAAGATGTTTCTTTTCATTTCACCTTTTCTCCTGTGCGGATCTCTATGTTCTACGTTTAGCGCTTGGCCGTGTTGTTTAAATTTGATCCCTCTTGAGGAGAAGGCCATGGAGTCGAATGCTTTGATCGAGGAGACCGGCGCGACCAGTCCATAATGAACCCGTTGCGCTGTGGAGGTTGGCTTAAGGCCCTTTGTGATGGAGGGACTTTCGCATTGATGATCATTCCAGTTCCATTCCTGATATTTAGGCTTTTTGACATCCAACATCCGGTTTGAATGCTGACTGCTGTAAAGGTATGTACTGTATCCTCAACTAGGGCATTTTAACCGACCTCAATTGATGTTTCCATCGGCTTCTGGCAAATTTTCCCGTGGGACCGCCCTGACCGCCTCGGCCTTACCAAATGAGAAGGGTGCCACGAAGTTCTTGAGTTGATATTAGCCCACCAGCTGGAGATTTGTGCGGCCCAACATGCCTCGTATGTCTCGAATGGTTTCGTGACGTTTTCCTGGTTCTAGGATTTCTAGGTGTTTTGCGAGTCATATTTGTAAGGCCACCGTATTGGCTTTCCGCCCAATTTTCGAAGTGCTTTCCAAGAAAGCCCTTGTACCCATGTACCATATTACGCCGATGCCACCGGCTCATGGCAAAAAACGGCCCATTTGGCCTCTAAGGGGCCCTTTTTCGCTCCTTCACCCTTGTGCTACTGTAGGATCACTCGCAGGCTTTTCTCAGCTAAAGATGCTGATCTCTGATCCCTGGCCTTTCGGGCCTTTGAGCTTGAAAGCCTGGGAGGAAAAAATAAAGAAAGCCTTTGTGGCCTTTCCATTCGTCACAGCCCACGAATGGTGCTGTGTGCACAAATGAGGCCGATGAGGCCTATATAGGTCCCACGAAAACCTCGTCCGTTGGCGATGCTGGCTCTGTTTCATGTCCCCTGACCAGCCCGCTTGCTGACGCCATGGCCGGGTTCTTAGCGATGTGTCTCGACACCCAGAAAGAGTGGTCAAATAGCTAGTGACTAGTGACATCGCTAAGTGGAGGCCATCGCTACTAGTGACGTGGCTTCGTAAGACTTGGTGACGACGTGGTGATTTTCTTTTGGCAAACCTTGGCCAAACGTGCGAGGCGCTCTGCGCTCCGCTGCTGAGTGTGCTGGATGGTGTTTGCGATGTGACATCGCAGTCGCTTGGCGGCTATGAAGATTATGAAGATACCGAACATGGCCTTATAGATTGTGAGGCTTTCAAGGGATCCTGGGTAGCAGACATGTGACATGTTTGATCCAGCACTGGCAGTGGACCACTCCTTTCCATAGTGCTCTCCAGCTCAGGGTAGCCGACCGAGAGGCAGGCTTGAAACGCTGCTTGAAAACCATCAGAAGCCTTTGCAGAAAGCAAGGGCTGAGTTTGGGTAGAGCAGAGAGCTGCTTGCATTCATCAATCACCTTTCATCCAGCCTGGATTGGACGTGCTTCATGTCAGGTAGCTCGACATGCACATGCAGCCCCAGAGTATGAACGCTGGATCTTGCAGGACGGGACTGACAGAGCTGTAAACGGTTTGAGGACAGCTGCGTGAAGTGGTTTTTAGCATTGCAGTTCTCCGTTGCGCTTACATTCCTGATGTCATGGATATCTTTTGGGTTGCCGTCTTCAACCATGGAGACAGAGAAAGGGATCACAGACTAGATGACCGGCTCTATCATTCCAGGTGCTCAGTAGTGATGCGTGTGGCCCTCACTGGATGCCTTGCATTGACCGTGAGCCCTTGAAGTCCTCTGTGTCTTGGCAACCATTAGTTCACTTGTCGTCACGTGCGCAACGCCTGTAGAGAGCGGCTGTGAATGTCAGGAATTTGGCTTTAAACCTGCACAAGCGCTAGGCCGCTAGGCCCCTTCAAAGTTGAATCATTCTCCCTTTGTTAGACAAGCCTTTTTATCGGATGCTGACATGATTGCACATGTTAACTTTAAAGAGTATGTTCCAACCAATCCCGGAAAAATCTTGCGCACGCGCGCGCAAGCGCGCGTGTGCGCGCATGCTCCCACTTAGCGTGTCGTGTTCTGCGTGCTGGGCAAGCATGAACAAAGGCCCCGTCAATCACCGGCATCATGCAGCAGTTCATCTCTATGTGTCAGGACGATGTGGAAATAAACGAAAAGGTGTGATCCAGTGAGTGGTGTCTCTTTTTCGAGGACAGTCGCCAGCCCATTCCTCCCAGTCCTCCAAGCCTTCCCGCCGTGTGAAACTAGATGCGGGGCTTTGAGGGCAGAAGCTTTCCCCTGCCTTGTTCAAGAGCTATCTGTCGCCAGGGGAAAGCTTTGAATCCTGCAACGCAGCGCAGGCACCGTCGGGAGAGCTGGAGGGATGGACAGTCATTGCACACTTCTTTTTGTTGAGCGGTTTTTGGAGCGAGGTAGCCTCAGTGGAGCAACTCATTAGCAGCCCAGGCCGATGAGCTTTTTGTGGCAGCAATTGTGGTTTATTCCCAAGGGTGTTGGCTCCTTGTTGAAGATGTCGTGCAACTTTGTGTAGGTCACGTCTCTGCCAATTCGTCCAAAGAAGTATCGCAGGCATCGCGGCTTAGTTTTGGGGAAAGACGCCCCGAATGGCTCAGTTTACACAGGCTGTGCACAGTTTACACCGGATTGAATGTGAGGGTGCCTTTTCCTATTTGGTTCCTAGTAGCTTCTTGTTACTACTAGCGATGCACCTGTTACTACTAGCGTGGCACTTGTTCCTAGTAGCGATGCACCTGTTACTACGGCTTCACGGATTTCACACGTTTCCGGATCAATCGAGACTTGCTCGTGGCGTCCTGCACCCTGTCCTTTGGGGACAGATGCAACGAGCAGCGCAGCTTGGCAGGTACCCAGTTCCTGCAGTTCTGGGAAACGTGCACGCAGCCAGGACTTGCGCAGCTATTCTGGGGGGAAGCAGGCGTATTTGGTCCGTTCCTTCGACTGGGAAGGCAACTCCTCAGGATCACCTTTTTGATCGCTACTAGGGTCTCCTGGCCTTACTACTAGGAGCAAGGACGCTACTAGGGGCTCCTGGCCTTACTACTAGGAGCAAGGACGCTACTAGGGGCTCCTGGCCTTACTACTAGGAGCAAGGACGTTACTAGGGGCTCCTGGCATCGCTACTAGGAGCAAGGACGCTACTAGG